TTTGTCCTCTGTATGCTTTTTCAGTAAACTGAATTATCAACAGTTAACCTACAATTCTGATTATGAATTATTGTGGGTTGTTCCAGAATCTCATTAGAAAGAATTGAAATGCAATGGTGAACCAAATAATAATAAAAAATAAAGTATAAAAATATTCACACTGATGCTTAATTATAAATGTTTGATCATTTTGACACAGTTGTTAAAACAGAAGAAAAACATGTAGTGCACTTACACTGGAAGTCTATAGGGCAAGTGTAATGAATGTTTTAAAGCACATAAATTCTTGTTCTTTAAAAAGGTGTCAATTGTCCCTTTGCAGGGAGTTTGATTGACAGGCGATCTGAACAATCATAACGCCGAATCTGCCATTTTTGTCCAACAAACAAACCAGACAGTTGAGTAGTTTAACATCAGTGGACCTGGGGCCTCATGTATAAAACTTTACGTAGATTTCATCCTAAATGTGTGCGTACGCACAAAAGCTAGATTTTGCGTACGTACAAAAGTTTTCAGATTTATAAAGCCATGCGTACGCCAGAATCTGCGAAAAATTCCCTTTGTAATATTCAGTCAGCGGAAGATTGTGTGTACATGCATCTACACCCCGTCTCCTCCCCGAAATAGCCATATATGGAGCTTACAACGCCTAGGTTTAATATGCATAACGTAATCTGCATATAATTTCCATGCATATTCCATCCATGTTTATTTATTATTATAATTATTATTAGGAAAATATGAGATATGGACTATAAATGCTTTTTGAGACATCACATTGCAATTCAAATTTATGCAATTTTGCCTATAAAGTAAACATATATTTTAGAATGTTAGCCTATATTTGAATGGAGATAGGCCTTATTTTTTTGCAGTGTAAATAACTGCCTGACTCACCGCGTCAATAACAAAGCATTTTGAAAATAAAACGTGCATATCTTACAGCCAATGGACTGTTTGATCAACGAGTGCATCCTTATGTCTGTCGTTACTGTCTATGTTCCAAAGCCATCAGACGAATCAAGTTCACATTAGTGATCATTATTCACGCAAATGTATTTTCTCAGAACATGAGTTTTGCTGTTTAGAACACAATTCAAAGCAGAATTGTCATGCACCAAGCAATCCTCACTGTGATTAAAAGATTAAATCGCATACCACAGGAAAATTGTTCGAAAGCAGCACATACACTACAAATATTTCTGTTTAAATTCATATAAAAATGTTGTAATTTCTAGATAATAATTTCATGAAATTTCAGTGCTTAACTTCATTATTAAGAGTGTTATTTAATCTAAATGTGTATGTCAAATGTAAAGAGCAGACTTTAAAATGTGTATGTCAAATGTAAAACAGACTTTAAAATCATTCTGTTTGCTTCATTATTTCGCTCACTCCAGTAAAAGAGTGCGTACACATGGTCTAGAGTGTCCGTACGGTGCACACATATTTACATTTCCATGCCCATTTTGTGCGTATGCAACGTTTATACATCAGGCCCCTGAACTTGAAAAATAGTGTGTAATGATGTCTTTCCGCTGTCGAAACAAGATACCTTTTGATGCTTATTTCATGTTATAACTAGTAAAGAGGAAGAGATGATCGGTTCACGTGCTGCTTGAACTGAGGCGCTACAGCGATCTGTAATGACACATTAAAGAGCCACAAAACGGCATTTATTGTTTGAATTTCTGAGAAAAAAAAAAAACTATTTGAAAGCTGCTACTTTGTTTCATATATGTGACCCTGGACCACAAAACCAGTCTTAAGTCGCTTGGGTATATTTTTAGCAATAGCCAAAAAAACATTGTATGGGTCAAAATTATAGATTTTTCTTTTATGCCAAAAATCATTAGTATATTAAGTAAAGATCATGTTCCATGATGATATTTTGTAAATTTTCTACCATAAATATATCAAAACTTAATTATTGATTAGTAATATGCATTGCTAAGAACTTCATTTGGACAACTTTAAAGGCGATTTTCTCAGTATTTTGATTTTTTTGCACCCTCAGATTCCAGATTTTCAAATAGTTGTATCTCGACCAAATATTGTCCTATCCTAACAAACCATACATCAATGGAAAGATTATTTATTCAGCTTTCAGATG